CGTACCCAGTAGGGGTAAAATTTACAGTTTTCTCTCATTTAATGTGTGACTGAACATAAAATGGATAATAAGCACACTAGTGCTCCTATCCATCACACCCCACCTCATGCTCCTTCTTAGCATTTACGCACTGTAGCACACCAGAATGACTCCCGGTGCTTCTACTAGCAAACTAGGTGACGCCAAGGCGCACTGCCTTCTAGAGGCGCAGCACAAACCGGCACTCTCTGTCTGTGGGACGCCCCCACATCATGAATGATCCCACAGGGAGGGAGGGGAGGCAGAAAGGACAGAGGGAGATGCCAGGTGTCTGGGGCCAGTGTAGCAGCTGAGCTGCCGCTCCTTCCATTATTCCTCTCAGACTCAGTCCTTTTACTGCAAGCCGGCTGGCGGCTGCTGATCACTGTGGAGTTCCATCAGCAAAGGTGGAGCTGCACCTGTGGAGTAAGTAATGTTTTGACTGATGTCTCGTGTCTGTGTGAGTGTGACCCGGCCGGTCCCGCCATCCATCACATGTGCACTGTGTCAGCGAGTGATTACATCATCATGATCCCACAGCCTGCTCTTCTAGTGCCTGCTTATCTATGTCAGTGTTGGTGGTGGTGTGTCGTGTCAGATCTGTCACTGTGGGAGTGCTCAGTTCAGCTGCCTGCTGTGACAGCATTTTATCTCCCCCCATTGCCTGGGGTATTCCAGCCTGGGATCTGTCAGAGTGTGGATCCATCATCCTCCACTCACTGCAACTGTCACCCTGCCACTGCCAGCCACAGATACAGTCCATCCATGACACAGATTTTGTCTTTAATATTGGTGCTGATGGCATCTTATGGCATTTGTTTTTGCAAATAAAAAATTTCAGCACGTTTTGTTGATTTAATATATTCTACTGTTTTTAAAATGTTTTATTTATTATTTATTTAGTTTTGTGTGCGCGCGCATGTGTGTCTGTGTGTGTGGGGGCAAGTAGCTGGTCACAAAATAGTCTAGCGCAGGCCCTGCGCAGTGCTATTCCCCCTCCCAGTCTGAGCTCTGCTGTACAGGGACTACAAGAGTCTGACACCAGGTCAAATTCAGGTACTTACACGCTAGCACTTAAAGCATGGCAGTTACTAATGTAGTAATAAATAAAGAGCTGTATTAAGATGTCTTTTATATATTTCATACCAATGAAAAAAGGTGCAAAACAGCATCAAGAAAAAAAGCCAATGCTTTATAATGCACAGTGCCTTAGCAAACCAAATGTCATTTTGTTAGGGTTTACGTGTATTAAATAGATTGCAAATGTCCTGTTGCCTGGAAAATTTTAGGATTAATTTGACTAACCTGCACAGCAAAATGTGGCGTTTTACCGTTCAAAGTAGTATGACGTCCAACAGGGGGCAGTACAATGTGCATTTCAGCACACTGAACAGTTTACTTTTTTCTTTTTTCAAACTTTATTTAAAAAGCCACATAGTCATACATAATTCATTTCTCTGCACAGCAGCACAGTGTGTTGCACTTCATGCAGCCACATGCAGTGCCATCACGCCAGCATTTTGGTATGAACAGAGGCATAGAAAACCATTGTTTTCCCATGCGCCCTCAAAATGACTAGCATTTATCCAGTGTGCCAGTCACTGCACACACAGTGTGATGGGATGATTGCTACTTTATGAAGGTTTTCCCTTATTCCCTGTTCGTGTGACAGGGAAAAGCCAAGTCAGTGGAAGGTCCTATTTTAGGATGGTATCAGACAAGCAACTGGTCTAGCTGCCTTTGCCTATATATTGACAGCTGGAGTTATGCAGCAACTTCCCAGCTATCCCTTACCATTTTTAAATAACTGAAAGTCATTTATACTTTTCCTTACAATATTTTCCATTTTGAGATCCTAGCAAATTTGGTATCGTGTGTTTTTCTAACTGGACAGATTTGCTTCATGGTTGTGCCTTTTTCAACTAAACACCTGGTCAAATTAATATCCTGACCAGTAGCACAAAAATATAAAAGTCATGGCAGAAAAAGACCAAGTGGTCCATCATTTTTTTTTTTGTTTTAAATCTTTTTGTCTAAGTTTAGATCTCTGTTTGTCCCAAGTATGAATACCCTTACTGCTGACTGAATCGCTACATCTGCTGGAACTGGGCAGCACAGTGGCTAAATGGTTAGCACTTCCGCCTGGCAGTATTAGGGTCGTTGATTCGAATCTCAACCACGGCACCTCCTGCCTGGAGTTTGCATGTTCTCCCTGTGCCTGCGTGGGTTTCCTCTGGGTACTCCAGTTTCCTCCCACACTCCAAAGACATGCTGGTAGGTTAATTGGATCCTGTCAAAATTGGCCCTTGTATATGAATGTGAGTTAGGGACCTTAGAGATTGTACGTCCCTTGAGGGTTAGGGACTGATGTGGATGTACAATATATATGTAAAAGGCTGTGTAAAATTGACGGCGCTATATAAGTACCTGAAATAAATAAACTCTGTTCCAAGCATCAACTTTAGTCTGTGAAATAATAACTTCTATGGGAGTTTCCTAATAGCAACAACAGTGGACAATGCTAAAGTAAAATGTGCAGAAATGGCTATTTGTAGCCTTTATCATTTATCTCATGGGTGCTTAAAAGTAGTATCCTTCCTCTTTTTAGCTTTAAAAAGGGATCTATGTAAAAGATAGCAGGCACATATTACAATCAGTGACCAAAGAGAAATTTTTGGATAACAAAATTTTTTTTTTCTTTTTAGTATTAAAAGGTCACTTGCTTCTGATCCCCAAGCCCTTTATCCAATCTTCCAGTCGGGGTGAGTGAGCACTGTACACCCCACATGAATGGCCATCATCCTGAGCCATTAACATAAGGCACATGTGAGACCAGATTAAGATTTCAGCTGGTCTCTCCATCTACAGCTGCCCATCAATCCCTGTAGTAGGAGGTTGTGATTGAGCCATTCATGTGGTTCCGTGCTACCTGAGCATGTGGGTGCACTGAGCTTTGGCACATCAGGTGGCAATGCTGTGCTTGTAAGGGCTCATGTACACTGCAGCTCCTAAACTGATGTTCAGGAACTGTTCAGCATTTTTTTCAGCAGCCCTGAACTCTCCCTAACATTTTCCTGTGTCCATGTACACATAGTCGTTTACAGGCAGTTGAGCTTACAGTCGAGTTTTTTAACCCCCCCAATTTGCGTTCAGGAGTAGATTACACCGGTGTTTCAAACGTGAAATGCTTGTAAACACGGTTAACTGCGTTTAGAAGCGTTTAACTGTTCCATATCCAGATGCTGTCCAGAGCCTTTTTTCATCATCAGAAATGCATGCAAAGTGTTTTCCATGTATTCAAATGGACCCAGTACTCCAGCGCAGTCAATTCCAGGTGTCGCGTGAAGGAAAAAAAATGGTAGAACGTGCTGCATTATGCTCATGATGGGATCCATAGTGAATACAACTAGAAAAGACAGGTCATCTCAACACATACTGCTCTCTCTGCTTCTGCTCTCTCTATTCCTCTCAAAATGTCTGAAATAGTTAACTTTTTACTATTTTTCAGTGCTTTCTGGGCATTTGGGAAGGTCTCCTGAGGTTATCTTTTAAAAACGTGCCTACGTTTAGCAGCGGTTTCCATCTTTCAGAAGAGTTTTCCCAAACGCCCCGTGTACATGAGCCCTAGGTGTGGCTCAAGGGAACGGAGAGAATAGGGAGATTTGAGCTCAACATAACATGGACATGTCAGGATGGAACCATAAGAAAAACGCAAACATAGTAGGTGCAGATGTATGCTGCTGTATGGTATTTTTTAAATGAAGGGTTAACAAAACATGCTAAGGCAACTGCATGATAATGTGCACAAAAGTACAAACTGCTAATAAGGAAAATGCCACTTGTAGAGAATGTGATGCTTTGCGTCAAACTGTGTGACACAGTTTGGAGGTTACAATGCAGGAGTTACCGAATGGTTGCCAGTGTTAAATATTTAGGAAGCAACAATCTAAACAATGAAGTCTGAAGATACCAATCTCATTGTTTATGAACTCTTGTAGTCTCACAATGTTTCTAACTACTTACGGGCAATTATCAAGTTGTTCCACCAGTTTGTGCCAAATGAGTAATAAGGATAGGATTTGCAAAACGAACAGTGTACACTAAAGCTGTACATTAGAAATATTAGAATAAATGATATAGTTTACAGAGATCAAACAGGTACAATGTTTCCACTATATACATCCTTAAAATATATCTGTATGAAAAGACATTTAGGGACTGTCACTGCTGACATCTTCCTGAAAATGGTGACTGCCTCGCAGTCCTGCCAATCTAGGTTTACTTGAAGCTTCACTGGATGGAATGTGTTCTGCTTTCAGCTGGCCTAAAGAAAGGTTAGTTGTTTCTGTCAACTACGTCCTAAGAATGAATCTTGTCACTTTACACCTGTAATGTATCCCTGCCTGTATATCACATGTACACACTGTACATTGCAGAGCAAATACATCTATTGTAGTACCTCAACTCAGCCATTCTCCACCAGGGTGCCCAAGCATCCGGGAGTGCCTTGAGGTTTCTTCAGGGGTGCCTTGGCAAAATATCTACAAATTGCTCAAAACTTGTATGCAAGCCAGCGGGTGGAACAAGCCTGCCTTTTAGTTACACAAGTCACAGGTTTTCATTGTGCACCATTATGACCTTCTGGCCATCGGCATCCTGACAATCAATGACATCATCAGTTGATAAGGAGGATGTCATCTGCCTGCACAGCATCCTAGTTTGACCCTCTACTGTCCCTCTTCTTCAGTGCTGGGGTCACATCAGCTCAGTGATGGAGAAAAACTGAGGGAGAAGAGAAACCATGAAATAGTGGTCAGTACCAGTGTGCAAAAGTGTATTTGCTTTAGAAGAGTAAATCACTTCTAAATGTTGGGTGTCCTACATGTGTGGATGTTGCTGTGTTATATAAAACTATTGGAATAGTTTTTCACATTTTAGAATGGGGTGCCCTTTTAAAATTATGGACAGTCTTGAGGCACCCCATTTTGGAATGGGGTGCCTCAGGACTGTCCATGATTTTAAAGGGTGCCTCAAGACTGTCCATTATTTTAAAGGGTGCCTCAAGACTGTCCATAATTTTAAAGGATGCCTCAAGACTGTCCATAATTTTAAAGGATGCCTCAAGACTGTCCATAATTTTAAAGGGTGCCTCAAGACTGTCCATAATTTTTAAGGGTGCCTCAAGACTGTCCATAATTTTTTTAATTTTTAAGGGTGCCTCAAGACTGTCCATAATTTTTTGCCTCAAGACTGTCCATAATTTTTAAGGGTGCCTCAAGACTGTCCATAATTTTAAAGGGTGCCTCAAGACTGTCCATAATTTTAAAGGGTGCCTCAAGACTGTCCATAATTTTAAAGGGTGCCTCAAGACTGTCCATAATTTTAAAGGGTGCCTCAAGACTGTCCATAATTTTAAAGGGTGCCTCAAGACTGTCCATAATTTTAAAGGGTGCCTCAAGACTGTCCATAATTTTAAAGGGTGCCTCAAGACTGTCCATAATTTTAAAGGGTGCCTCAAGACTGTCCATAATTTTAAAGGGTGCCTCAAGACTGTCCATAGTTTTAAATGGTGCCTTGACTGAAACAAGGTTGAGAAACACTGCCTTAACTTACAGCAACTCAACCTCAATCAACCAGTTGGGGCAATAATGGATGGGCACTGTGCAAGTCCAGTAACTCCTTTTCCAAATACACATGACATGATGATACCATACCCTGGTGTCCCAGAACCTGGTTTAGTGTGTCTCTGAAAGCCTAGGTGCTAATATGTAGAGACGGAAGCATTGGATGTCAAAAAAAACAGGAAGTGTAGGGGCACCCAATGCTTTCTATGGGGGCAGTACAGTTTTTTCATACAGTGTGCAGGGGATGCTGGTATAAAAAGTTTACAAAGCTACAAGAGGTGGGATGTATAAAATTGACTGCAGACCTTTGTGACTTGCCTGGAGTTCAAATTTAAAAATAAATGAAAACCTGAAGAAAACAGAAAACAGCCCTTCAACAGTCCGAAGCAGAAACTTTCCAGAAAGACATTGTTTTAATACAACCAACACTACGTTCATTCATTATCAGTCCTTGCTCTACCCAAATAGCGGTGAGTGAAATGGTTACATATTTAACCACTTGCTCTCCAGAGGATCTACCCCCCTTCCTGACCAGGCCATTTTTTGCGTTATGGCGCTGTGTTACTTTAACTGACAATTGTGTAGTCATGCAACGCTGCACCCAAATTAAATTTACGTCCTTTTTTTTCCACCAATATTTTTGACTTTTTTCTATTAAACATGTCCAGTTAAACAACATTTTTTAAAAAATCAAATTTCGGCATAAATTTAGGTCAAAATGCATTCTGCTACATGTCTTTGCTACAACAAAATCCCAACACAGTACGTGTAAATTAATTGGGTCACGTGAAAGTTATAGCATTTACAAATGGTGGATACTGGGTTTTTTTTTTTGTTTTACTAATAATTGGGGCGATCTGTGGCTTATAGCGGGACTGTGGCAGGCATTCTGACACTGGGGGGAACTGACTTGGTGTCACAGACATCCCCAGTGACACCAATACAGTGATCAGTGCTAAAAAAAAAAAAAAAGTACTGACATTGTACTAATGGAACTGGGCAGGAAGGGGTTAACATGAGGGGCAATCAAAGGGTTAACTGTGTGCTGGGAGTGTATTACTGGAGGGTGGTGTGTGTGGGCTTTACTGTAATCAGTATTCCCAAGCCGACAGGGCGGACAACTGTTAGTAAACAAAGCAGCCTCATCGGACAGCCTTGGTAATCACTGGGAGCCGGCGGGTAATCACTGGTCAGGACTCTGTGATTGACAGCTATGGCCATGAATGGCCGCATGGGTAGGTCGCACGCGCGTTCCCCCTACCCAGAAATGTAAAATCACATATATACACACATGATTTTGCGCACCCTATATCCGCTATAGGATGGCGGGATATGGTTAAATAAGAAAAGGTTTATTATGAAATTACCCAAGATAGCTCATAAGTCGATTTTTCAAATGCTTAAAGTGTTACTAAACCCAGGACCCTACATTCACTATATCTGGTCTCCCATCGTACAAAGAACATGGAAATAAAATTATTTTAGTAAATATAAACTGCTTATCACCTTTTCAGCAGTTAGTGCAGTCTTGTGACTTTCATCAGTGTTCAGCAGAGCACAGATTAAAGCTTTTAGGAGGAGTTTTCTCTAGGAGGATGCAGAACCCCAGTCTGGCAGGCATTTGCGGTGCGGTTGAGAGGCAGTTGCGGAGTGTTAATACCATTTAACTTCATTATGGGCATTTGTGGTGCGATTTTAACACTTAGCAAACGCCTATCAACTGCCTCAAAACCGCGCATGGGGCATTTGGGAAGAGTTTTTAACGCTCCTCAAACGCCTAACGCCTGTCAAACGCTATAGGGGCGTTTGGCAAGAGTTAGAAATAAAGTCAAGTGTGAACGAGCCCTTATGGTCCATTCACACCAAAAAGCAGTGGAGCCCATTCACACCAGAATGTGGTGTGGGAATGTGTTCAAAACACAGTGGGTGTCTGATCTGCTGCGGGTGTCAATGTAATCCTAATGACACCCCAAACGCAGATCACAAACACAGTGTACTTGCCTGTACCAGATTACATGCTACCGCAGTACCATGCGGTCTGGTTACTGTGTGTTTTTTAAATTACTTTTAGTGTGATCCAGTAGGATTTAATCCCATTCAAATTTATGGTCTGCAAAATGCATTGCACTGAATTGCACTGGAATGTAGAGCACATTCCTGTGCAATTCAGATGTGAACCAGCATTTACACATGATCAGTGGGGGATCAGTAGTTATTTCATGTCAAAGGTTCAAGAAGTCGTTTCACCATATATTTTGATTATTCTGTCACCCAGGGAACAAAGTTCAAGCAGCACTTTATCCCATTTTGATAGATAGAGAGGATTCAGAGCTAGTGTGGTCAGTAACATTCCCCTCCCCTTCTCGCTACCTCACTACGCTGCTCTGTAGGAAACAAAGATTAGTGCTAACTGACAAAGGTGATCTCACAAGCAGATGGAGGCAGAAGCAAGTGAGCTCTTCTGGAGTTCCACAACTGTACATGGGTGTCCTTTTATCATGCAGCAGTAAATGACCGCTGATCAGTTCTCCGGAATTCTCAGAGGAGACAGTTCTCCTCTGAATGCCTTTTTATGAAGCGCTGTAGATCGCTTCTCCCAATGAAGGGAGAACCATCTACAAATGCTTTGAACGCTGGAAAACGGCTGCTGTTGCTATAATCTCGTGAGATTACAGTAAGAGATCAGTCAAAACACAGTTTACTAAGCAGTGGTAAATTATCGCTGCTTCGTTTGCGGTTCCTCCGATTCTCCCGCTCTGGGCTGGACAATCTGGAGGGAGAACACAGATCGCCAGTGGAGGGCTGACATCGCTCCTTCATATACTGGCCATCTGTGTGCTGAGATGATCCATGAAAAACATGTTCTCCACTGATCATCTCTGTTTCCTAAACCACTAATGATCTGAGATCAGCAACAATACTCAGGATCGCCGCTGATCTCGGTTTCATAAAAGGACACCATAGTGATGTCAAGAAGAGAATGTATCAGTGCTTTTCTCCGTGTGCTAACCAGATTCATTTGTGGTGTCCTACAGCTAATAAAGACAGACCTAGAAGTTGCAGATTTCTCAGGTGGGGACTCCTTTACAGAACATTTACCCTGTGAGGAACAACCCTGGTTATGTCACTGCACCCACAGCAGAGGGGGGTGGGTCAAAAAGCTCTGCTAGACCCCATTAATCAGGCTTTTGGCAGCGGAGGAGCCAACATGCATGAATTACAGCAAAATCATACAATCAGAGATGAGTATTCATACATTAATGAAGATTTCATGACTCATAATACATCTTCTTTAACCACTTCAAGTCCGGACACTTTCACCCCCTTCCAGTCCAGGCCAATTTCCAGTTTTCAGTGCTATCACACTTTGAATGACAATTGCGCGGTCATGCAACACTGTACCCATATGAATTTGTTTGCTTTTTTTTGAGATAGATAAAACTTTATTTTGGTGGTATTTATTATATAAATGAAAAAGTCCAAAAATTTTGAAAAAAAAAGTATTTTTGTTATAACATTTTGCAAATATATAATCTTTCTTCATAAATCTTGGCCAAAATGTATTCAGTTATCTTTTTAAAAAAAAAAAAATAACCCAAATTCGTTCATAACCAAAAATTATAATTTTTCAAAATTATTTTTACAGTTTTATATTGTTTATGGGTTTTTTTTAACATACTGTCACCCTAGGAGTACAGTGTCACCATAGTGACACTGTACTACTTGTGGGGGGTGAAGAAGATTTTTTTTTTTTTTTTTTTTTTACAAATTGCTTTTACACCCATAAAGGCTGTAAAATCAATCATTTCTCCTTCTCTCTGACTGCATTCTCGCAGTCATTGAGAAATATGGTGAGGAGCTGTGATTGGTCACAGCTTGTCACATGGTACAAGGCTGTTGTGAATAGCCTTGTACCATGTGAGCTCTGTGATCATTCACAGATTTCACAAGTAGTAAGCAATGATGTCAGGAAGTGACATCTTGCTTACTACTATTCATGTGATCACTGATTGGCCAATCCATGATCACATGATCGGGACCTCACACAGAGGTCCCGTATAGCGATTGCGGTGCCGTGCGCTCCCAGGGAGTGCGCACACGCTGTAAATGCGGGCGCTGTTTATGAACAGCAACCCATTCCTGCACTGCTCCCGTCCAGCCGTTTATGTATATGGGGCGGACAGGAAGTAGTTAATGAAGATTTCATGACTCATGACACTTCTTTATTATTAAGTAACCCCTACCATGGGCTTGTCTAAAGATATCATTTTAGAGATTGAGGAAAAACTGAGCAAGAGAGTGCTTCGCCATATCTAAAGTTTACTTTAACTTGTACTTTAAAGTAAGAGAATACCCTACCTGTGTTGAAATTGGTTTTCAGAAATCTAATAATTTTTTTCTTAAATAAAGATTACTAGGGCCGTTCAGATCAGGTCTGCCTGTCAGTTTTTCAAGCGGACCTGATCAGATGGTCCATTCACCTCTTTGGACCACGAGCATAAATGGACTTGTGACCGTTTATATCTGCCTACCTCCAAACCGCTCTGCAGCAAAAAAAAAAAAAAAAAAAAAAAAAAAAAAACACCCCCCAAAAAAAAAAACAAAAAACAAAGGGGATCTGTCCTCCATCTAGGAGGATCGGAGGGTAGTTGGGTGTAAACGTACTGCAGAGTCCACTTACACGCGGCCACCCATAGAGCAGAGTGGGTTCTGTCCGTGTTC